CTCCACCGCCGGCGTTTCCTCCGCTGTCAGAAGCGTTAGCAAGGGATTTTCCTCCGCTACCCACGGAAACGTTAGCGTCAGCACATGCAACGACATTGGAATGGCTGAAGGTGAGGACGGCGACATCCCAGGACCTCAGGAGGGCGATATCCGATTTAGAAAGGTTCGATGGAGGAGTGGGTGAGCTAAATCACTTTTTAAAGGGAGGTGATCGGGTGATATCGCGCATTCAAGCCAAAGAAGAGGAGAATTTGATAGACTCGATGGATGCTAACGCATTAAAGGCGGCTTTAGTGTGCCGAGTTAAGAGAAGTGTGTTAAATATGATCCAGGCGGACGAGGACACCCCATGGGACACGGTGAAGGACAGACTGAAGAAGGCATTCGGAGGAGGTCGATGGGCTCTGGAGGAAGACATCCTGCAGATGTTCCGGGAAAGGAAACAACCTCACCAGTCGAATAGGCAGTATGCAGCGAATTTATTAGCACGATTTAACAGTCTAACCGAAAAGACTAGAGAAGTAGCAGGTGCGGCCAAAACAGGAGCCAGGATGGCGTTCCTGTCGACGATACTTAAAGTGTAGAATGTGCTCAGGATATGATCGATGCAAGCCCGGGATGAAGAAGCAGCTCGGGGTGATGAGGAGAATGAGAATGGGTGGAACCGGGTGGTATACAGGAGACCAGAAACTGGAAGGGCAAAAGGGAGACCGGAGGGGTGGAGAAAAAGAGGAGAATTTGGCACGAGGGAAAGGACGGCAATGAGAGAGAAAAGGCCAGGTCGAGAAAGAAGAAAATGGACAAAGGATGACAGGAGATGCCACGGGTGCGGGAAGATAGGTCATCTCGTAGCGAATTGCCCGCGAACGCGATGTTTTGAATGCGGAAATGAAGGGCACATCGCCAGGCAATGTCCATATATGAGTAGACGGGGAGACACGGGACGAGACGAGCCAATGGAGGTGAACGCACAGAGATTATGGAAGAAGAGAGGATCGACATCAGAGTCAGACGAGTCATCAGGAGCATCTGGAACCGAAGAGGAGGGAACGGTGGTAAGAGGAGCTCGAGGAGGCAGCATCAGCAGAAGGAGCGGAGTGAGCAGGGCAGTTGCAGGAAAGAGAGGAAGAACGGATGAATGAGGAGAGGAGCAGTGGAGCGGCAACCACGCGGTAGTAAATAATATTGGAGGTGAGTGCGTGGGTTTGCCAATTATAAGTGTTGTGGGGAGGGGAAAGTGTTTGGTAGATACGGGGAGCTCTAGTACAATATTATGTAAAAAGATGCTGGAGGAATTGTGTAAAGGAGAGAGGATGCCGGAAATAAAAAATTGTAAGTGTAGGTTGATTACTTTGGGTGGTCCTTGTAGAGTCGAGGGGGAGGTAGAATTAGATCTGGACAGATGGGTGGCCGGAATCGGGAAATTGAGGGTTCACGTAGTGGAGAACATGCTGAGGGAGTACGGGGGCATAATAGGTTGTGACTTATTAAATAAGGTAAGGCCGAGGATAGATTACAGGAGTACGGGTTGGGTTGTTCGAATGGGAGGGAAGAAGTATCGGTGTAAGCAATTGAGACTGGACGGGACAGGGAATGTCGGGGCAATAGAACAGGCGGAACATTGGGTACAGAGGATAAAGAGGGAGTACGCGAACATTTTTTTTAAAGACGGGGAAGTGTTTACTGCAACAGGGAAGATGGTCCATGAAATCCCTTTAAAACAAGAAAAAGTGACATACGTTAAGGAACGACGTTATCCACAAGCACTACGGCGGCACATTAAGGAAGAGATAGAGAGCTTGAAAAGGCAAGGTATAATCGTGGATAGCACATCACCGTACAGGGGAGGAGAAGTATAGAGTAATGGTAGACTTCAGAAAGCTCAACGACAACACTTTGGATGAGAAATACCCGAAGACATCATTGACAGACTGAGCGGAGCCACAATCTTCAGCACTCTCGATCTAAAGGCGGGTTATCACCAGATACGTATGCACCCCAGGGATCAACATAAGACAGCTTTTTCATTTGAAAGGGGGCATTATGAGTTTACTCGCATGCCGTTCGGGTTGAAATACGCTCCTATAACCTTCCAGAGGTTTATGGACGAATTTTTGAGGGGACTGGATGAAGCATTCTGCCAGGTATATATGGATGATCTCCTGGTCTTCAGTAAAGATGAAACGGAACACATTGATCATTTGCGCCGCGTATTTGACAGAGTGAAGCAGTTGGGATTAAAATTGTCTGCTGAAAAGTCGATTCTGGGGCAGGATGAGATCAATTTTCTGGGACACTCGATTTCGAGGGAAGGGATCAAGCCTGATAAGCAGAAGGTAGAGGCGATACAAAAAATGGCGATGCCCAGAGATGTCAAGGGGATCCGGAGATTATTGGGGACGTTGAATTATTATCGTCGGTTTGTCCCGGAGATGGCGGAATATCTACCTCTTAATAATCTCCTAAAGAAAGGCCGGAAGATCGCAATAACACCAGCGATAGAGAACAATGTGCGGAAGTGCATGGCAAGGTTGCAAGAAAAGCTAGTACTTGCTTTTCCCGATTTTAACAAGGTTTTTATTATCACCACTGACGCAAGTGAGTATGCGTTGGGAGCAGTACTTGCGCAGGAAGGAACGGACGGGGAACAGCCAATAGCGTATGCAAGTCGGCGACTCACAGAAGCGGAAACAAGGTATAGCGCCCTAGAAAGGGAACTCTTGGGAATAGTATGGGCGGTCGGGCATTTTAGACCGTATATTTTTGGTCGGAAGTTTAAAGTGCATACCGATCACAAACCGTTGCAATGGGTGGGCAACCTGAAGGAATCATCGGCAAGGGTCACTCGATGGAAGCAGTTCCTAAGCCAATATAACATGGAAGTCAGGTATAAGCCAGGCAAGGAGAATATAGTAGCGGACTGGCTGTCCAGAGCCGTAATGATAAATGCCATTGAGGAGGAAGAAGGGGAGTCGTCGCGGGACGTGCGGCAGTTTTTGAGAGCGTGGACACCGGAAGGTGAAGGGGAACCCGGGGATACGAGAACAGAGGAATCGAGAGGAGAAGAGAGCTCGGTGGATGAAAGGTCTACAGACATGGAGGAATGTGAGGAGATCATTAATGATAAGCGACGACAGGTGATTTGGAAGACCAGAACGTTGGGACTTATGAAGATCGACTTCAGTAAAGATGGGAAGAAGAAAATTAACACCATTTGGTCCCAACCAGGGATGAAAGAAGAACAGATTTGTAAGGCTTTGCACAACGCTTCAGAGTCGGGGAAAATTCACCATCTGTATGTAGGCAATGCAACCATTTGGGAAAAGATCAAGAAACTCTGGAGGGCAGAGAAAATAGGTGTCGACAGGTCATTTATTAAGTGTAAATACTTGGTTGAAACGTTAATGGACAGGGAGCAGCAAAAGGAGGTAACACTGGCACATCACCAGGGCAAGACGAACCATCGGGGGTACAGGAAACATTCCACGCACTACGCAGGAGATATTATTGGGATGGCATGCGGAAAACGATCTCGGAAGTCATTGGAATGTGCGAAGTGCGCGCGCGCACTAAGTATGACAGACGACCACCTCAAGGAGTACAAGAAGAAACCCCTACAGGAGATACGCCGTTGAAAGATGTGCAAATCGACACATTCACATGGAGAGGCTTAAATGGTCACATGATAGACCTCTTAGCAAAATGGCAATGGCACATCGGGTACAGGATAGGTCGGCGGAGGCTGTTGTGGGAGCTCTCCAAACGTGGGTTCAGTTCTATGGAGTGCCAGATCGCATAACGTCGGACGGAGGCAGGGAGTTCGACAGCAGTACCATACGAGAAGAAGCGAAGCGCTTGGATATAGTTTGGCACTTCAATACGCTGGGACATCCAAAGGGCAGGAGAGGTATCGAGAGGTTGCATAGCACCCTAAGCGATCACCTACGTATATACCAGGGGGAGCAGGGATTAGAAGCGGACGTAGCAATGCAGAGGGCGTTATCGTAGGGTCGGATCCAATAGGGGGAAGGAATTGGTGCGCTACGAAGGACCATTCAAGGTAATTATACTTAGAGAGCACAATGTTTGTACGATCCAAAGTCTGAAGGATCCCAGAAAAAGGAGGACCGTTCACATAGAACAGTTAAAGCTCCCGATAGAGACGGAGTCACTACTGTAAATATGTGGGATATCCTCTTTTCTGTCTCCTGCAAGCTAGGGACCGACGCTAAAAGGTTAATTTGATTTCGTTGTTTCACTTTTGGTTGTAAGATAACAGTGTCTTTTAATTTTATTTTTTTTTATTTTTACTCTGGCTGTTCTAGGAACTCCAACGGCGATTATTTTTTTTTTTTTTTTGTTTGTGATTGTTGTATTTTGGTTATGTAGTACGTCAGTTACCCTGCATTAGTTTATGAGGAATGTTCATAAACTGGCGGGGGGGAGTTATGGTTAGATTTAAGACAATATAACAGTTAATCCTATCTATGAAGTGTAAACAAAGTGTAATACTATATATATAGCATTACTAAGGCAATAAAGTCAGTCTTTACCGAGCAACCGAGTAAGTTATTTAACATCCTTTTCTTTCTTTTTTTTATTCTTTTGCGTTCAGACGATCATAATATATATATATATATATATAATAAACCCTAAGATGGATACTAATATTTTATAAGTTTAGTTATATTTTATAAGATAATTTTAAAAAATTTATTGATGGATGTATAGTTGACTTGAAATTGTAAGGATAAAAAATGTCTAGTGTTGATCATTAAATTTCTGTCTTAAATACAAAGTATGTTAATTGTAATATTCTTTTATTGGTTAGTGACCTTTGTAATTATAATTATGATGGTTGAGACATGTTCCATTTGGATATAATAATACCAAACAAAAATCACTTGATAGTTAATTGAAGACATAGTATATCTTACATTTTATATACAGATAGTTTCACTTGATACATGTGACTGCAATAAAGTTGCCTTGTTTGATAGAATCCCACTATTGAGGAAGAAAATGAAGATACTTTCCAGATGTATATAGGTGTGTATTTGAATTTACTATTTATTTAAAAAGTTTCAATAATAATTTTAAATATCTAATTGCTTTCCTGTACCTTGAAATTTGTATTATTTAATCATTTTCAAATATTAACTAAAATACAAATTAAGAGTTCTTTCTAATATATATATTATAAATGGATACCTTGTTGCAATTAATGTTTACATTGAATGTTGGTATTTCCTTTAAAAAAAAAATTATGTTAGCTAAAACGAAATTGAAAGTATAGAATTACTTTCTATAAAAATATAGAACTGCCTCAGAAGAAATACCTGATACATTTAAAAGCAGAGTCACCATCTCAAATAAGAAATAATTAAAATGAAAGAATAAGTTGAAAATAATTTTGTATTTTTAAAAAAGAGATACGAAGATGATAGGACAAAACTGATGTTGAAATACCTGAAAAGTTAATGTAATAATGAGAGATTTGTATTTCAGGATACTATTTCTAACCAATGACTTAAAAACTTAGGAAATGAAGATATCAAGCTTACACAGGGTGTCTCAGTTCTTAATGGCCAAACTGTGGGGGATGGTTTTTGACAAAATTTCCTACAAAAAAAATCATTTGATGCGTGGGTTGATTCTGAACAGAAAAAGACCAATTTTGTGTTTTTCTTAAGGTAGTTACAGTTTTTATTGAATATAGCTCTACCCGGCCACGTGCTGCTGTGGCTTAGTCTGGCAAAATGGAAAATAAAGAAAATTGAAAGCACATATGAATGGATTAATATCAAAGGACATCTATCATTTTTAAAAAGTTGGGAAACAAATTTGTCTGTAACATGGTTTCAATTTAAACTAATTCTAATGATTTTTTTTCATGATTCAACTTAAACATTCTTAATCATCAGAGTGAATATGCCTTCATTCTTAATCATCAGAAACAGTCTTGAGTTGAACTTATAAAACTTTTTTTTATTATTTATTTTAATGAAATTTACAACTGTATTACATGAAAAATACAACAAGTGAATGTGACATTGGTAACATGAAGAGAAACTACCCATTGGTAGAACTCAAATTAAAGTTCTATATTAGAAGGTCCCGAGGCCATCTTCTTTTCAGACCCCTCGGAGGGTTATCAGGGATCGAGAAGGAAGCAAGGTTTGAAACGAGAGGGTTTAGATGGTTCTGCAGTTTGTTATGGAAGAATCAGTCTGGTCAGAGACAGCCACCAATTTACATCCTCTGTATTATCACGTGTTTTATTTCGTTTAAGTTGCGTTGATTTTTGAATTTTTTTTCTTTCTTTTTTATCTCGTTAAATCTATAACCATAGATAAAATTAAAAGCTCGTATTTCCTCACGGTTCCTCGAAAAGGAACGTATTTAAGTAATATAAACTATTACAAGCCACGGGACTGTGATAAACAACTGTGCTCTGTAGGATTAAGCACTGCTGTTGGGCTTAGGGATCTTAACAACACATCGTGTTATTGTAAGTAAACTTTATTTACTTCATATCAATATGGCTCAATGCCCGGTATGCAGCAGCACCATCAGTCGTGAAGAAAAAAATATTTTATGTTGCGCTAAATGCAAATTATTATTTCATAGCAGATGCTGTAAACTTAGCGATAAAGAGTTCGAGGCTCAAAAATCATCGAATAAAGTATGGACATGTAACAGTTGTGATTAAGCAAAAAAGTTTGCAGCAGGTGGTGAAAACCTGAAGCAAAGTCGCAGCACCGAGCCAACACCGTCAGATATTCTGGCGGCAGCACAGCGGTTTGAAAAACACGTTAACACCGAAAAAAAATATATTAAAACAGCGCTGGACAAATACGGAGACCTGACCTTTGAATTAAATGCAAGGTTAACAAAAATTGAGAACCATTTAGAGGGACAAGCGAAACATTTTGAGGAAATTATATCTGAAAATAAAGCCCTCAAGTCTAAGGTAGGTGAATTGGAGGTCAGGCTAAATAAAGCGGAGCAAGGCCTTCTTAATAGATCTCTTGAGATTCGGGGCATTCCGGTTCAAGCGGGTGAGACCCCTGCAGCCCTGGTTACAAGTATTGGGGCTGGCCTGGGAATCAAGCTCAATATTGATGACCTGGACACTGTACAGCGTCGAAGAGCGAAGAAGGACGACCCGCGACCACCGCCCATCATCGCACGATTTGTCAGGCAGTCAGTGAAGGATGACCTGGTGCAGAAACGAAAAGTAAAGCGGGAAATCGGCTGGCAGGAGAATGACTGCCATCGTATCTATCTCGGCGAGGAGATGACCCCTAAGAATAGGCACCTCTACTGGCTCGCAAGGCAGAAGAAAGCCGCGGGGAAAATAAAATATACCTGGTTCGCTTCCGGCACAGTGCGGTGTAGAAAAGACGACGGCCATCAGGTTGTCCTCATCAACCAGGCACAGGACTTAGACGTCTTCGGATGACGGCTTGAATCTCGTTCACCATCAAGCATCTACGAACATTTTGGCACGCTCACCGGACCTTCATCGGAAATCTTTTATTTTACATTATATTATCAAGGCTATTTATTAACTTATTATTTATATACTTTTTTCTACTGTATTTTTTCTTCACGTCATCTAATGTATTTAATCTTTTTCAGCGTCTTTCCATCAAATACCGAATGTCCTCTCCGAAATCCTACTCATGTCTAGTGTCCTAACTTCCTGCCACGTCAACTCCCAATCCCTTCCAGCCCATTACGATGAATTCCTAGAATATTTTACCCAAAACTTTTACCACATCATCGCAATTTCCGAAACCTGGCTCAAGCCCTACATCCCCTCCTCTTCAGTCTCCCTTCCTAACTACACCCTAATCCGCCACGACCGGGACAGCCGGACTGGCGGAGGTGTAGCTCTGTACGTTCATACCAGCCTAAAGACCCGAATTCTCCATCGTTCTTCTCCAACCGATCAGCCACAAGTCGAGTTCTTGATCGTCGAAATCTCCTGTAACACCTCTCATCTCCTCTATTCCGTGGTATATCGTCCTCCTCTTGTTCCGTTTGACCCGTCTTTCGAAGCTTCCCTCTTTAACTTTGTGCCCCTTTATTCCAAAATTATCATTTCCGGTGACTTAAACACCAATTTCCTCTCCGACTCCAGCGACAAATCATACCTAGAAAACCTTTTTTCTCCCTTCATCTTTTTATCGTTCCTTTATCTGCTACGCATCACACCGCAAGGTCCAACACTTGGTTGGACCTGTACATTATTGATTCCGCTCAAAACCTCCTTTCCTCTTCCCAATTACCAGTTTCTTTTTTATCGTCGCATGACCTAATCCAAATATCCTATAATATCCAAACCCCTCCGATCCTACCGAGAACGGTAACTTTCCGGAACCTCAATGGCCTTACTCGGGAAAAAATCTTACCTTCCCTAGAATGGAATATAATATATTCCTGTACCTCAATTGATTCCAAGGTTGACATTCTCACCTCCAATCTTATTAATATCCTTGATGACCATGCCCCTCTCAAAACCTCCACCTTTCGTCGCCTTCCTGCTCCCTGGATGTGTCAGAAAATTAAGGATCTTCAGAAGAGACGTGATGCAGCCCGGAGACGCTTTAGACGCACTAGATTGCCTGATGACTATCAAGCGTTCAGGGCGCTCCGCAACCTGACACAATCCACAATCCGACGAGCCAAATCTACCTATTTCCATGAAGCCCTTTCCTCAGCTCCTGATTCCAAATCCAAATGGCTACTCCTTCGTAAACTCTCTCTTTGTGATCCTACCAGATCTCCTCCCTCTGCAGTGCCCCCAGTTTCATCAAATGACTTAAATTCTTATTTTATATCTGCTTCCTCTTCAACTCCTTCATTTCTCCCTTCCTTCTTTCCTCCTGGAACATCTTTCAATGACGCCGATTTTTATTTTTCAGATATTTCTCCCACAGACCTCATATCCGCCGTGATGAAATCACACTCTAATTCTATTGGTCCAGATGGCATTCCCGTCAAATTAATTAAATTATGCCTCCCTGAAATCCTTCCGGTACTCCTTTTCATCTACAATTTTTCCCTTCAAAATTCAGTATTCCCTTCCTTGTGGAAAAAAGCCACAGTCCGTCCTTTAAATAAAAATTCTAATCCGTCTTCCCCTGAAGATTTCCGGCCAATCTCAATCCTTTCTAACCTTTCCAAACCCCTGGAGAGAATTGTGCAATCCCAAGTTTCCACCTTCCTTGAACAGTCCAATCAACTTGACCTTTACCAATCTGGTTTCCGACCAGGTTATTCCACACAATCCGCCCTAATCAAAATCATTAATGATGTTCAGTCCGCCATTGATGACAAAAAACTAACCGTCCTTATACTCATTGACTTTTCCAAAGCCTTTGATTCCATCAACCACTCCATTCTCTTTTCCAAATTAAAATCATTATCCTTTTCCCATAGTTCTATCCTATGGTTTCAATCATTCCTTTCCCAACGCTCACAAGCTGTCGCTATTCCTAATCAACCCTTGTCTTCCTATCTTACTTTGTCCGCAGGAGTGGCCCAGGGCTCTAGCATATCTCCCCTCCTTTTTAGTTCTTATATCAATGACATCCATAATTCAATCCTTCACTGCTCCCATCACCTTTACGCCGATGACTCCCAAATCTACCTTTCCTTCCATCCCTCAGAGTTGCATGAAGCGTTTGCCAAAATTCAAGAAGACTTGAATCGGATCAGTGCCTGGGCAAACTTAAATGGGTTAAGGTTAAACGCTGCAAAAACTCAAGCCATTGTCATTGGTTCCAAACCCCTTCTCAGAGCCAATACCAACATACCTATACTGTACCTAAATGACCATCCCATTACCTTCACCTCCTCAGTAAAAAACCTAGGCATTTTCATAGACCAAACCCTATCCTGGAAACACCATATTGCTCACATTACCCGACAGTCAATTGGTACCTTGAAACTATTCCATCGCTTCCGCCATCTCCTACCCATCTCCACACGTAGACTCCTAGTAACTTCCCTCATCTTCCCCCACCTTGATTACGGCTGCGTGGTGTACGGTGGCCTCTCGGCAGAACTCGGGGAGAGACTGAAAAGAATTATGAATGCCTTCGTAAGATTTGTCACAGGGGCCCTGAGGTATTCCCGTGTTTCGCACCACTATGCTGAATTAGGATGGCTCTTCCCTTCCTTCCGAAGACAATATTTCCTAGGCACATTCCTTTACCAAATAATCAATAGTCATCGTCCGTCCTACGCATACAATCTCCTACAATTCAAATCATCTATCCACACCCTCTCCACAAGATCTCGTCCTTCTGACCTTTACACTCCTTTCCACAGATCTGCATCATTTAAACATTCCTTCGTTGTCCGTTCCACTGCATTCTGGAATTCCATCCCACTAAAAATCCGCCATGCATCATCCTTATCCACCTTTAAAACCCTCTTATTCCAATTCCTCTTCACAATCCAATCAGACGCTGGTTAAATACATACTATGTTATAAGGATTTAATTTTCTTTAGACATTATTTTTTTCTCTTATTTTTTATTGTTTTATTCTGTGTTGAACGTGAATTTTCATCACCACTCACTAAGCATTGTGAGTAGATAAAATTTGTTTTCCTTAAGTTCTAATTTGTTATTCATGGAATGTATTTCAGTGAAATGTATTTTATTTCTAATTATCTTCAACATACTTCTCGCTATGTGTATATATATACTTTATTTTATTTTCTCTTCTCCTAATCTTTACGCATAATCACTTAAATATCTTAGGGAACATATGTATATCATTATTTGTTTTTTTATATATTTTTTTGTTTTAGTTTTTACAATTTCTTTCCCTACATATTAACAGTTATTATTATTTTTTTAAATTTTTATATTCCATCACTACAATGCTTTACCTATAAAATAGATTTTACTTTCCTTTATAATTTCATTCAGTGATTATTATGCAATTATTTTAGCTCCAATATTGTAGTACTGAACCCCTATTACCAAACTGTCCTCGTTAATTTATCCTAAGAGCTTAATTAATACTTAATGTATTACATGTATTTTGTCATTATTCATTGTAATAAGTCTTTTGACCAGATTTGTAGTTAATATATATGAACAATACTGTTATTCTAAAGGGACCTAGTCCCAGAATAAAGATGATTTTTCTATTAAAAAAAAGAATAGGTATGTAGATTGGGCCAAATCGGAAACATATGGAACATTAAGGTCTTTATAGATGATTTTATTTGTGACAAAGTAAGGAGCGTTGAGGATTTTATGAAGGATTTTGGATTGTAAGGATTGGATACGAGAGGAATTCAATGGTTTAGTGGGGCCCCAAAGCTCAATTCCATAAGTCCAAATAGGTCTTATTATTGTCATATATATGAGTCGTTTGTAATTGATTGAAAACTTAGAGCGTTTGTCTAGTAAGTGCTGCAGTGAACTTATAAAACTAAAATTGACTTTATCTCCGCTTTCTGAAAATGACAGAGATCCGTCTTTGATATGAATCCACTCATATATTTCCATGTTTAATTTTTTTATATTTAATGTATTGTTTAATGTTCAACTTTGTGTTGATCATTTTATGGCAAGTAAAAATATAAATGTTTGTTTGTTCAAACTCTTAAATCTCAGGAAGTTATTCACCCAATGCCTTGAAATTTTGGCTTAACGTTGCATTTAAATACGCGCGTGGTTTAATATATCTATTACTATAAAATATAAGGTAAAACTAAATTCAAAATATTTTATGATACTCTTTCAATGTTAAAGATTTTCAAATATCAATCGTGGCAATGCATTGAAATTGTGCTATACCATTTATCATAGCGTTCATTTTGTGTGCATTAGAGCTGCCTTCCACCTTCTTCAAAAGAGTTTGCATACCACCCCTAAGATATTTGATTGCTTGCTTCTTCCTAATAACAATTTGATTAAATATAGAGTTGTAAAAATTGTAATGGAAAAATAAACCTTACTCATGAAAGAAACCCTATGGTAAACGACACAACCTTTTTTCAACGTAATGTTAAAGAAAATAATTTATTAAAAAATGAAATAAACTGAAATCAATAAAAAACTGATTTTTAAAAGGAACATAAACGGTTATAATTATTACTCGTGTTAATTATTTTTAAATAATAGCAAATCAAATATTTGAGATGTATCATACTACTTCCAGAATACATTGGGGGGAAAATAAAAAATTAATATAAAGAGCGTATAATAGTATTGTTTTCGGGAAACTATGTTATGCACATAAATTAAAAGGGTTTCAAGGGGAAGACTTTAGACAAGTTCCATTAAACTCATTAAAGCCGTTTTGGCGCTACAGTTTATAGCGACACGTTTTTCGGCCGCTATTTCTAAACGAAAGGCCAGATAGTAATAAAATGTTCAATAACATTTCTGAATTTGATTGCAAAGCTGTGTCAAAGTAATGCATAAAGGACAAACAGACATTCATTTTTATATAAATATAGAAGAAGGAATTGCTCAAAAACTGTTCAAGATAATTAAATTCTTAATACATCATTGCAAAGTAGACAAAATTTGTTTGGGAAAACTGATTAAATTTACTAAAATCAATAATAAAAGGCACTTGCAGGAGGTCTAATAACACAAAGCCTAAAATTATGCCGAATTATTTCATCAATCAGGATTGCAGAGATATGCTGCTGGGGTATGGGTACTACAGCAGTACAGTGGCCATATTAGACTTTCTTAAGTCAATTTTATCATTGACCATAGTAAATTTAAAGTCCCTTTTGTCATCGACTTTAGTATATTTCATAAATGTTTTCTCAAAATAAGATTTGTCAACTTTATGATGGTATACTTATAATTTAATTATCTTGAACAGTTTTTGAGCAATTCCTTCTTATTCTAGAAAAACACAAAATTGGTCTTGACTCCTTTTCTGTTCAGAACTGCCCTTCCTCCAGAGCTTGGCCATTAAGAACTGAGACACCCCGTAGAAATGATTTCAAAGGAGGCTTTGACATTTCTTAATTTTCTTTGAACTTTAATCGTAGTAATTTAAAAAAATTATTAATTACCTGCAAGTTACAAAAAAAAAGAAGGACATTGTGCAGTTTTGCAGTAAAATAATATCAGTTTTGCGGACATGATATCATACTTGGTAATATTTTTGAGAGATATCAAAAACTGATTATTTTAATGATACAATATTGAAAATAAAAGATGATTATGTTTTGATATTTAACAATTAATATATTAATATAATTAAACTGTGATATTTTATTAAATATACTTCATTTTTACTTCCACCTGTCTTTTCTCCACTTTTATATTGTGTTTTCAATCTATCTCCTTATTTTTCCTTATAAGATTTTTCAAGATCTAATTCCTTTCCCATTTCAAATGGAATTAGAGCCTATAACATGTAGATAGGTAAGACTTTTTTCCTAGATATGTTACCACTTCCTCAGTAAAGTTGCTTTTGTACAGTAATATTTTTGAAAGTAACATATTTAAGAAATAAATTTAATAACTTGGTACTAAGATAGAATAAAGAATATTCATTTTTGGAAATTGCACCAGTCGGGCTTAACCCCTGAAAAAAAAATGTATGCAGCCAAACAAACTAAAGGCAAGATATTTCCCCAACTGCAGGTGTTGGTTTTCCAGATGACTTGGTCATTGTTGCCATGTCTAGATCTAGTGAAGCTGTGGTGGTTGACTGTTAAGGCATCACCAATGCTACTTTAAGTCAGAAGTTTGACTCCTATCTGAGCAGGTTAAAATTTATTTTGCAGTGACCTTCTCACTTTGGCTAGAATAGGTTGATTACCCTTAGGAGGAGTCGATGGCTCCTGAATTTCTCCCTTCCCTCTTCTCCCAAAATATTTTATTGCTCTCCTCTTTTTAATAACAGTGCAAGCTAAAGTAGAATTTTAGAAATCATAGGTCGTATAAATTATACTTACAGTAATCTGTTCTTTTCTTTCCTCTTGTCCCCTGCTTTGATACTTCATTTCAAAAATTCATAATCCCCTCGAAATGTTCCTTCCCTCAAAAATTCAAAATCCCGTCAAAATGTGCCCCCTCAAAAATGTTGATGCACAACTTGTGACATAAAACTGATAGGTAGTCACACCATATGCAAGAAATAGCCAGAAAGAAAGGGGAAGAAATATATTTGAGGTCAAGAAATATCTCATCACCTTTGAGACTTTTGATTTATGGAGCCAAGTCCATAAACATAAATATTTGATAATAGTCCTTTATTAGTGGAATCCTATACTTTTGAGTAGGTCAAGGAATTAACTTATCTCACTTCCCTTTTAATCCCATGGAATGATATGGCTACTGAGATTTAGACATGTATTAATTAATTACCAAAAATCAACAGAGAACCATGATAATAAGGTAGCATACTTGAGGATAAATGAAAATGCTCAATATAACTTCAGTTGTAGCTGTGCCTTTGACCCAAACTCTCTGGGTAAAAATACTGTATTATTAGACTACATTAATTAAGGCCAGGTGAACCAAGGTTTCCATCTTAAAGAATCAGATACTTCCAAAATAACGGTGGTAACAGATTTGCGAAATAGTTTTCACTTTCCTGAGTGAATTTCACTCAAAAACTATTGGTAGTGCTCAAAAACTAAAATACCTTTTATTTCATTAAAGAAAATAATATATATATTGGTACTTGATAAAGACTACTTTTGATTTAAACTTTTATACATATATTTAATTTTTTTTTTGTTACAATATAAACCAACAAATGTTTTGGTGAGTCAGGATGTGGAGAGTAACTTACTTGAGAATTTCGAATATCAAAATTTAAAATTTATTTTAAATATAAATATTTTGGCTATCGGATATTTACTAACTGTACTCACTAAAATGTACATACAAATTTAAGTCAAAAACATGAAAATTAGAGGAATGTAAAAATAACCCCAAAGTCAAAAGATACAATTTGATAAATCTCATGAGAAAAATATAATATATTTCTATCTTTTTTTCAGGAGACATATTGAATATTGTACGGCTTTCAGACAGGTTACGAACTAGTCCTGTAAAAACCAAAAGATATCTAAAAGATATTCAATATATAAAGCCTAAAGTTAACTGCAATTGTTATAATGTGGGAATAGATGTTTATCGAAAATTGATTTTTCATTCACGATCAGCAGGTAATGTATGATTGATTATAAGACAAAAGATTTGTTGGCCAACTTACTTGTATTTTACTGTTATGGCTGCAAATGTTGGCATCCCAAATTCCTTAATACTGTGAAGACCACAATACATTAAGATAGGCTTGTCAGTAATAGTTATCTTGTATTTCAATTATTTGGTAGTATCTCTTTTTAAAAAGTGTTATCTTGACTAGCCCCTACTTCACCTATGTAATCTGTGCTTTTTAAAACTAAAAATACCTTGAAGACCATCGTTATTGGTCTTATGCTCATTAGGACCTCTTGCTGTTATCTCTATCTCTTTAGTGAACAGAACTGATGAGATTTATTTTAATTAGTGTTAAAATAAAAGTCTCTTTGGACATTTTTTAAAATTTAGGTTAGTCATAGATGTAAAGTTCCACTGGTCCAAGAAATGAAAATGGCTCCAAGATAGTGGAGGTTGGGCAGTTGGCTGTATTTTTACTTATGTTATAATAAAATTCCAATTCCTTCCGGCCAATATATTTGACAAAATTTCGAAAGATAATCATCAGATGAATTAGACAACATTGAAACATTTATACTGCTATACTTAGTGTCTTAAGGGACAAGAATATTGAACCACTCATTTCTTGCAAGGTTCATGACATGTCAAAGGAGCAGGGCAGAAATATGGCAATCCTAGCTGTTGCCCTGATTCTGTAGACGATATTGTCTGAGAGTAGTACTATCTAAGCTTCTGGTATGTTTGGTGGTAGATGACCACTATTGATGACATCTAACAATGCAATGTTTTACCTATAAAGATATGTCGATGAATATGCTATCCAACTGTTATTTCATACTTGCTTAAATCATATTTAGGGAGTGTGGTAGCTCAGTGGTAGGGCACTGAGCTTCCAATGCAAAAGTCCCAGGTTCGAACCCCGGCTCATGGCAGAAAATTTATTTATCTGTTTCATTGGCCGTGGGGCGACCCTGGGTCGGAAGACCCTCCTGGGCCACACTCAGCCTCTATAAAGTGGGTACCCTTAATTATATAATTAATTAAGGGGGAAAACCTGATGGTTGAGCGTGATCTCGTTCAAATCATCTCCTTGCACAACCGTTGACCTAGAAACAGTGCTTTCCCTAAATAGTACTGAACCCCAGACCCTTCATTGGTTGTAGTGGTACAGGTTTTTTAAATCACATTTAGGACACCTGAAGGGAAGGTGTATATAGAAAACTCGGCATCTACCATTATAAGACATTTGTATGCATTCAATAATAAGAAAAATATAATATTGTAATTAATCTCTGCACTGAAGGTTAAGTGCCTATGGATAACTGGGAGTAATTAGCTGAAATGGCATTCCATAGAAATGTAACATTCAAAACCTTGTGAACCCAACCTAACGGTTATATGAGGTATATAAGAGATATTATATATTATATCTGAACATATAATGATTACTACAACTGGGTATATGAGAATTTAAGCTTTTAAAGAATCATCACTGTAGCAATAATACCCATATTTTAAAGAATCATCATAAATGGAACAAAGCAGCTCATGCTCTTGACAGATTCAAATGATTGAATAAACTGCACAGATTATCCTGCCTCATATTCAAATTTGAAGGATTTGTGTTTTAGAGACAATAAGAGTTCTAATCAGATCTTTGCCAATATTGGATTGTAGGTTTAAAATACAAAATCCTGTGGGATCTTTTTTGTGATTTCACACTAACACTATTCTTAATTAATCAATTGAATCCAATTCTGAATGGAAACCCTGGATCCCATACACTTAATTATATAGCTTTTACACTAGATTAAATCAATTTAATTCAAACTAAAAAGAAAATAAATAAGTGGAAAACTCATGATATCTGAATGTTTGGCTAGGATTTAGTTATCAATAACCAAGAAAACAAAATACCTGTTTTTTAGGTGAGGAAGTTTCATGGAAAAAAAGTCCTAATACTGGAATCTTACCCTTCCATTGCCCGTCTAAAATGGTGGATTTTCTTCCTCTGTCAGTCACTTTTTGTCTTTGGTATAGGAGCGATTGAGACTTTTTTTTTAAGTATTGCTAATTGCTGATTCTCAGTGTGACAAATGCTGAAAGTGAGTTCCTCTTCAAAATCTTAGTTAAAGACTTAAATTGTTGAACAACAGATATTATCAATACATCCAGACAAGAACATGTATGGTTTTATTTGTTACAAAATGGTAATTTTATTGTATATTTAAATTAAATTAGATATACAGTCCACTGGGAGCGGGGTAGCTCTATGAGTTAGGCACTGGGCCGCTTAGCTCTACATCCTATGTTAGAACCCGCCTGTGGTAGGTAATTATTTATTCTGTTACATCAGTTGTGGATTGACCTCAGGGTCCCAAAAGACCCTCCTGGAGCACACCAAGTCTCTATAAAGTGGGCATTTTTAATTAATTAAGGCGATTGAGTATGATTCTGGCCTAATCGCCTCCATGCACAACCAATGGCCTTGAAACAGTACTTCCTAACAAATTACTGAATCTAAGACCCTTCATGAGTCGTAGTGGTACAGATTTTAAGTCTGGAGATTGATCCCTCCATTAGTATATCATCCTCCCACAAGTTCGGAGTTTAATCCCTCCTGTTGTGGTTACCATTCTTGCGGAGTGTTAAGCTTGATCTCTTACACCGCAGATCGAGAGTGATTGAGTGATCCGCCTGTCTCTTAAGATCATCCTTCTATTCATCTTCCTACATCCACTCGGTCATCTTACCCCTAAATTGAGCAATGCTCTGTCGAGGCCCTCTGGTAACTGCATACTCTCTGCACACATACCTCGACATACATTAAAAAAAAATACAGAGTAATTAAATAGTCATAATAAAATATTATAAGTTACTTTCTAACTTAAATCAGTTAATAATAAAAAATTGAAAATAAACATGAAGTAAAAATAATGATGAACGGTCTAATAATTCATATGCATATTTACAGTATCATATATTTACAATTTTATAGGGACTGGATGGATAAGAAATGATTGAACAGGCGGGATTTAAAGGTAGAAAGGGTATTGGATTGACGGATGTGGGGGATGTGGGGAGGGATGGATTTCCATAGGAATGAAGATCGGATAATGAACGATCTGTTGAAAGCACTGTTTCAGTGGGCCTTTATGTATAAATCAGAAGACCGGGAACGAACGGAGGATTTGAATTGAAGAAGCTCGGAGATGTATAAAGGGTGGTGGGATTGGATGACTTGAAAGAGGAAAGATGTCAGGAAATACTTAGGGCGGTAGGAAGGATAAAGGATCGTGCAAGGATAACAAAATTGTGCAAAATGGAAAGATTTTCCATTTCATTAATTACGAAAGAATAATCTCAAAATGTATTTGTAAAATTTAAATGGATGCAAAGTATTTATTTCAAAACCTCTAGCCACTAAATATGAGTTTCTTGATTTCCACGTTTTGTAAGTGTCCACTGAGAAGGGCTAATACCTTTTTGTGACAAAAATTTGGCTGTCAACCTCCTTTAGAGGAATGTCTGTCGCAAAGAGGGCTAAATCCCTATATCTCTTAGCTGAGACATTTATAAATTGTTTGTAATGAGAGGTATTGATTATGAGTTTTTTTTTTTCTTTATTTAGCTCTCAGACAAAACTCTAAGTGTTTTCAGCTTGTTACTAATTCTCTCTTGCCTGCTTTGATTTGGATTGGAAATTGTTTGTAGAAATGATTTGTGAAGTCCATCACACTGTTACTGTTCAAAGTTTATTTATTTACAACTATCAAAATAATATATAAGCCTTCAAAGATTTATTCAAATTCAATGACATTTCAAGCTCATTTGCTCATTCTGAAGTCATCAACAAACAATTAACCAAACATAATGGACACAATAATAACTCATTATCCAGTCATACAAATAGTGAGAACTTACCAAAAATTCAAATAAAAAATTATTTATATATTATAATTTCATTAAATACTCAGTAAACCAAATACAAAAATAACTTTATTCCTTGTCCCATTTCATTTATTCTAATGCTTGTCCATTCTACAAATAAAAATAAGTTATGCAATATTTCAGAAAATTAAACAATTGCGTGCTATGTATTTCAATTTTTGTTTAATTTAAACTGCATACTCACCCTGAAACTTTGTACTACTTCCTCCCTCTATGGTTTTACATTGACTGTACGTTTGAGCTCTTTTGGGATTAACTAAATAAGTAAATGGGATATAGCACTGTTGATATTTATTATTTTCCAATGATCTATCTAATTAAAAACTTATAATATATGAACATGATGTTTACCTATGTTTTCTACAGACATAATTTTCTATAGATGAATAAAGAAATAATAGTGATATTATCGGGCAAGATCAAGAAATTGGTAATTATGAATATAAATGATTATATATCGAAAATGGAGCATTATTGGATAATAAAACAATACAAAAAGATGAGAACCAATCCATGTGTGGAATTAGCAGATAAAATCAATACTTATGTTAATAAATTAAAAAAAAATGTTACATAGACAAATATACTAAAAACAAATTGGCTTGTAATAATTATATGAATTGTGAATACACGGACTCATAAAATTACACAAACAAAACAAAAACATAAGAGCGTTATTCAATAAGATTAATGGACCTAATGACAATTTATGTAAATTTTTTAAGCATACAATAATGAATTTAAACAGCGATATGAATTTCGACCTAATAAAGTCTATTGAAGTAATAGACAGATTAAAAAAATTTAAATTAAATGAAAATATAAAATATGATATAGTGAGTTTTGACGGGAACGAATTATTTATTAACGTGGCACTGTTTAAAACATCATCTATCGATAGATGAATATTTAAAAATTAAAGAAGAAAATTGGAACACAGTAAAAAATCAAACGGATATAAAAAATGAGAGTGTTTTTATGGAGGGATTAAGATTATGTTTAAGCAATAACTTTTTCAAATTTAATAAAAATTATTACAAACAGTCTAATAGTGGGAAATAGGTTTTCAGTATTACTAAGTATTTATTTTTTAAATAAAATGTTAACGGAACAAAGTAATAAAATTGAAGATAAACCAATTATGGTGTTGAAATATATCGATGACTTACTCATCATCACGAAAAATAAAAGTTATGAAAAACTTTTTGAATTATTAAATAATGCCAATAAAAGAATGAAATTTACAATAGAAAACCTATAAACAATAATATAAGATATTTAGATATTAACATCGTAAAGAATAAAAATCAAATAGAAACATATTGGATCAAAAAAGAAAAATGCAGTGATCTCATATTAAATTATCCCTCAAACCGCTCTAAACACCACATTAAAAATACTGCTGTTAATTTAGTTTAAAAAGCGATAAAACTTATGGACACTAAATATATGAAGATAGTAAAAAAAAAATATACATAATATTTTGGTAAATAATATTATTAAGATAATAAAAATCTCATAACGGATTATTTTAAAGTGTTGGATAGCAAGGAAAATGCAAAGGATAGCAATCAAGATGATACAGAAAAACAAACCAGAAAATATAACAAATACCACAAATTAAAATACATTCTGAAATTGACAGAAAAAATAAAAAATCGTTTTAAAAAATATAATCATTATGAACTCAAGTTTGGTCTATATAACGATAATAAACTGGAAAGACATATATCCAATATGAAAGATAAAATCAATTTAATATATATAAAATATGTTATATATAAAATTCCCTTAATGCTAAATGTCCCAAACATTATATTGGAGAAACATCACAATATTTAAAAAAGAGAATAAAACAATACAAAACTATTGTAAAAAACATAAAATCCATAGCTTAATCCAATCACAGTATAGTGAATAAGCACACCTTTGATTTTAACAATATAAAAATTTAAAAACAGCACAAAATAATTGATTGATTTGCAGCAGGCCTATGGCAATGTTATTAGAGAGAAGATTTATGAAAATCTGGTAGAATTGGGAACACCCTCAAAATTAGTGCACTTAATAAAAATGACCATATGATGAGGGTGCAGTGTACTGTTATGGTGGGCGGAGGCTTCTCTAGAGATTTTGAAACTTATAAAGGCCTCAGGCAGGATAACAGCCTTGCCTGTCTCTTGTTTAAGCCTTGGAATGTGCAGTCAGAGGCTCAGGTGTACAGATGGAAGAAACCATATTTAACAGATCGGCCCAAATTCTTGGTTTCACAGACGATCTGGATATAATGTATATAATGTACGATTAGGAAAAGTATGATGTCCATGAAAGAAGCGTTTCTCGCACTCAAAGAAATAGCACAAATGCTGTAGGAGACCCTGACTCACCATGAGTTGTAGTGCCGAACAAGAACAAGAAGCAAAACAATAAAACTAGAAAACCCCTGGAATCAATTTATATTACTAAAAATATAAATAACGCAGTAAATTTCAAATCCGATGTTAAAAATATTGGCCAACATTATGTCCATATATTAAATGAGATTAGTTTTTAATTAGATAAATAATGAAAATAATAAACAACAGAGGAGCTATATCCCATTTATTTATTTGGTTAATTCCTAAAGGGACATGCATTCCTAAAGAGCTCAATTGTGCATTAAATGTTTACGATAGAGGGAGAAAGTAGTACTGAGTTAAACTGGGTGAGTATCCAGTTTAAATAAAAGAAAAACTGAAATCCATATTATAAAAAAGTTTAATTTTCTGAAATATTGCTTACACATAATTTTGTTTGTAGAATGGACCAGCATTAGAATAAATGTGCATGAAATGAGATAAGGAATAATGTCATTTTGGTAGTTGGTATAATGAATATTTAATGAAATTATACTACAAAAATAGGAGTGGGGTAGCTCAGTGGTAGGATACCACATGGTAGGGTAGCTTCCAATGCTAAAGGTCCCAGGTTTGAATCCTGGCTCATGGCAGAAAAATTACTTATTCTATAGACCCTCCTGGGGCACACCCAGCTTCTATAAAGTGGATACCCTTAATTAAAATAATTTATTAAGGAGAAAAACCTGGTAGTTGAGCGTGATCTCTGTCAAATCACCTCCTTGAACAATGGTGACTAAGAAACTGCCTTCTCTAAATAGAACTGAACCCAAGACCCTTCATGGGTTCTAGTGGTACAGATTTTTTTCTTCTTTTTTTATTTATAATATATAAATAATTTTTAGTAAGATCTCACTTTTTATGTGACTAGATAATGAATGGTTTTTGTTATTAATTATGTTTGATTAATTGTTTGTAGATGACTTGAGAATGAGCAAATTGAGCTCAAAACGTCGTTGAATTTAAATAAATCTTTGAAGCATAAGGGCTTATATATTCCTCAAAGACACCATACATAAGAACATTGAGTGCCCTTGAAAAAACTACTTTAATAGCTAAACATACCATCAAAATAATTTATTCTATTTTAGTACAAGTGATTAATATATCTTGTAACAATAAAAAAAAGGATTAGATTAGTGAAAGTTAAAAGTGATTTATTTTTCAGAGCTCAAAATAACAGAACTTAAATATTTAGTCGAATGTGCGATACACCATGCTAAATATTCTCAATTTCAATCTGCTTTAAAACTTCTTTTGGAAGCAAGAAAGTTATATCAAGTAAGTTGAGTACAGGAGTTGAAAAAAATGATTCAATATGTTAGAATGCAATAAAATATAATAACAATTAATGGTATGAATAATATATTTAGTAATGAATTTTTAATTCCAAGTATTGGTGTAATAACCAAGTTCTAATGGCTCCAGTATTATTTATAAAATATGGTAATAATTTGTGGCAGTGAATGGAAATGACTACCATTTAAAAAAAAAAAGTTTTATTATTTCTCATTAGCTAATTTTAATGAAAAATTACTTACTTAAATCTACATTCAATGTTAAAAATCTTTACCCAGCTTCCATTGTTGGAGAACTTTTCAGACTTGTCTTTTTCACTAATTATTATCATCAGCGGTGTAACAACCTGCTTATTGAGTCAGGACTTCCTCCAAAAAATTTTCCAATCTTTCCCTATACTCGATGGCTGCAATCTGATTCTGTGCACACTTAGCTGTACTCACTTGTGAAGCTATTTCTCCACCTCAGTTTCAGTCTTCCAATGCTTCTCACTCCATAAAGCTGACCTGACATCATCCTTTTAGGAATGTACTGTTCAGTCATCTTGGCAACATGCTCAGCCCATCTTAGCCTCCCTATACAGATGACTCATGATAACAAGAGCTCCAATTTTTGCATGACCATTTATTCTGCATAAAACTTTCCTCTCAAACACCAAGAGCCTTTACTCATCCTACTTTGAGACGGTCCACACCTCAGAACAATGCACCAAGACAGGATAGATCAGAGTTTTATACTGCCTTAGCTTATTGTTTATATTCGACTGTGAGCCAAGACCAATATTTCTTAATTTTTTTCAAAACAAAAGATTTCTGTGGTGATACTTTTAATCTGGTTGGTCCTCCGACCCGATATCATGAATTTCGTTTTTTTTTTTCATTTATTTCCACACCTGGTTTATTTGCTGGGATCTGTAGGAACATATCTTCGGCAAAACCATGCAGACAATATCTTTCATCATCGTTTGTGTGAGGTGGGTAAGCTTTCTTGGGATGCTTAGTTCTATAGTCTTGTATAACACCGGCTGTTGAGACTATCATAAGCTGCTATAAAATATAAAAAGAGATTATATGTCTGCACCCTGCCTTTCTCAAAAATTTTTGATCAGATGTGGACTTCCCTTCTTGAAAGCCACACAAATAAGGACCAAGCTTCTGCATAGGGTGTCAGCATCTAAAAAAGAATGTTTGACAAAATTTTGTAGGTACAGAAAAGCAAAGAGACGTTTCTATAAGTATCACTCTCTAGCTGGCTTTCTTCCTTATGAATACGACAAATGACAGTTCTGTACCGATCCTTGTGCATTACTTACACTTTCCATATACCAATGATGAGGTCATGCATAGCTTCATAGAGCTCCCCATCTCCAAACTTGTGGAGCTTCAATGGGTAAATCGTCATGATCCTTGTGCATTACTTCCACTATCCATATACCAATGATGAAGTCATGCATAGCTTCATAGAGCTCCCCATCTCCAAACTTGTGGAGCTTCAATGGGTAAATCATCATGATCCTTGTGCATTACTTCCACTATCCATATACCAATGATGAGGTCATGCATAGCTTCATAGAGCTCCCCATCTCCAAACTTGTGGAGCTTCAATGGGTAAATCATCATGATCCTTGTGCATTACTTCCACTATCCATATACCAATGATGAGGTCATGCATAGCTTCATAGAGCTCCCCATCTCCAAACTTGTGGAGCTTCAATGGGTAAATCATCATGATCCTTGTGCATTACTTCCACTATCCATATACCAATGATGAGGTCATGCATAGCTTCATAGAGCTCCCCATCTCCAAACTTGTTCTTGTTGAGCTTCAATGGGTAAATCATTATAGACAGGTGCCTTGTTTCTTTTAAGCTTGCCTCGGTTATTTCATCTTCATCAACAGTGTCAATCTAATCCTCTGTAGATTGAGATATAACATAGTTCCCTGTCCTATCTGTCAGTTGACCCCGGCTAAATAGATTGTTAAAATGTTGTTTTGTACATATTTACTTCTTTTCTGTCAGGAATGTTCCATTATACAGTGGTGTGAAAAAGTCTCCAAACAAATTAATAAATTAATTTCAAATTTAATTTCTGAAAAAAAAAACTGAGAATTTCAAAAATAGAACAATTTTAAGAGATATAACCAGCTTCCTAGAATTTATACAATGGCTCTTGATGTTGGCAACAAACAATAAAGGTTGAAGTGAATAAGGAAGTAGAGAAATTTAAACAATAAGGTAGCAATATTCAGGGGACAATATAACGACAATACAATGGCTTGTTGTCAATTGAAAATAATGTTAATTAAAATATATATTACATCTACAATGTCTGCAAGGTTAAATCAGTTCACAATTAAGAAGATAAAAACACTTTTAAATTGAAACATTTATTATTTTTATAAAAATTTGGTTTGTTCGAAGACTTTTTCACACCACTGTATATTTTTGAAATATTGTATTTTCACCTAATTTACAAGAACATTCTGATCTGGCAAGAGCTTTTATCTGTACTATTTGTTTCCTGCGTTAAGGTATGTCATCTGTACCATTGAGGAGTTTCACCTGCTTCAATACTCCACCTTTCTGTCAGACTTGTTCTGAATGCACCAGTTGCTAAGTGAATAGAATTGTTGTATATTCTGTCTAATAATCATAAAATAACATAAAAAATTATCAGCTTCATTCTTTTTTCAAATCCAATAAATATGAATATAATTTTAATCCCTAAATTGTACTAAATGTATAATAACAACAACAAAATTCTGTAAACAATAAGAATTTTTTTTTTGTATTGCTTTAAGTTTTTTATTAGTATCTAATATGATATACAGAAGAGAGCTTGATGAAGTTTCCCTATTAACTCTCAATCATGGCTGCTTTACTTGGGAAAAGTAAATTGCACACCAAGAGTAGTTGACCACTGAGTAGGCATGATATCAAGTAAAATTTTGTCAAAAACGTATGAAAAACTCAAGTGATCACCGTTTTACTTAAACAATGGCAATGAAAATTGGTTATATAATTATTAGTGAATAGTTATAAAACTCTAAGAATAATTGCAGGCTGTAATCCAAGGCACAATTCATTATAAATTCTTTCCTGACGGTCAAACCATTAATTCACAACTTTATTACAATCAGTTACAAAGAATTTGTGATTTTGTGACTCAGCATTACTCAAGATTAATAATTAAAAATAAAATTTTATTTCAACAAAAGAATGTTGAACTGATCACACCACTATTTTTTACACACAACAAAATATTTTCCTTAGCCTGCTTACAGTCCGGACCTAGCAACTTCTATCATCTATTGTGATCAATGACTCATTATCTTTACAAAGAAGAATATAGAATTTCCTGAAAGAGGTTCGAAATAGAGTTATATAATTCTTCTGTTCAAAGCCCAAATAGTGGTTAAGGAATGTTAAAGCTTACCTCAAGTATTAACACAATAAAAAAAATGTGTTAAAATATAATTGTTTTTAAATTAGCAAGAAGAATATTTATCTTTGTATGACTTAATAGTAATTTAACATTGCTTATTTGTAAAAAGATAAATTTCAATAAATCAATGCTTTAATTTTTAGTCATGCATGTCCCTATTGCTAAAATCAAAAGCTGGTACTAAATTAGCTGAAGGAAATGACACTTTGACAATGAACGATTTACAGTTTGAGAAGAAAAAGATTCATTGCTATTTAGGTATTTCTTTTTATTATGCTCATTAGGTAAAATAATAATTATCCTTGTAGATTATTAAGAATACATAAATACAAATATTTAGGCACTTTTGATATGTCTTTTGCTAGGTATAATTCATTAATTAGTATTTGTAACATATAACAGAATTTATATTTTCTCCAGTTTTTTTTATGTAATAAGTATGTTGGAAATTGTTTCTTATTCCTAATGTTTCCTACTTATATTATCCTTAATAATCATATCATGCATATCATTTGTTATATTTATTTACCATTTGTTTATTTATTAGGAAAATGTTATCTTAATCTTGGGGACCTTCCAAAATGTTCACAAGAGTTGAATGAAGTTGCCTCTGAAAGTTACTTGTTTGGTATTGAGGCATTAGTAAATAGAATTGTTTTGAGATCGACAGTGTTTAAAAGAAAGTTTGTTGAAAAAAAGAGAACACAAATAGCTTTGTCATCTTTTGTATATACTGTTCTTTCAGATCTCTATTTAGTAAGTGTATCTTTCAAGTTTTTTTTTATCTATAGATAAAATTTAACTATAGTTACTTAATAATAAATCCATAATTGTAGAAGGTCACAGAGTGTGACAAAAAAATCATTAATTTAACAAACTAGAAAGTTGGAGAAAAAATACATTGATCAATGGTTTTAAATGAATATATTGTACTATCTCTATAATTTTCACTTCCCAGTGTATGGGAATACCCATTTCTAATCTAAAGTAGGGTGGTGAGTGGAAGTAGTATGATGCCTGCAGCTCTTCAGATTTTTGCAATTCATGTTCATTGAGTTAATTAATGTATAAATATTGTAGACAATTTTATTTATTTTCTAAGCAATTTAACCTGACTGAGAACTATTTTGGGAACATACCTGCCAGGGATGGTGACTAGAAAGTACCATGTAATAGAGTATACTCATGTAACCATAGTGTCGGCTAGGGTGTACCATAATGGTAAGTCATAGATTATCTATACAGTAATAAATGTTCTTTCTGATCTATTTGTTAATTTTGAAATAGAATTATTTTTGTCCCTTCAAGTACTGATAAATTGAAGAAAAAAAAAATCATTCTATCAGAGGAAGGGTGCTGTATTTTCTAGTAATGGTTGGTTCAGATTTCATGAAAATTTGAACAATTTTATTGATCAACATAACTGCTAGTTATTAAATAACCAATTATTTACTAGTTCAAATATAAAATAAAAACAAAGTATAACAAGATTACTAATTTACCTTGCTCTTGTTTGTTATAGTTCTTTATTATCAATATAAATTCCAATGTGTTAAACAAAATCAGTCACATTTATATAAAACTATATGTGCGTGAGCTTTTAATTACGTATTAGATTAGCTGCTGTACTTTTTTCTATATTCCATTTCCTTTTATACTAAGGGCTGCTTTGTCACCTATTGAAAGGCTTCCCATATTTTAGGAGAGTTTTATTTTTATTTAAGAAATCAATGAAGTTTTTCTAATTCTATTCATTGTTTTTCGACATTAGCGCTTGTGTAATTCTTAACTTTGAGGAAGTGTTAAGAAACTGCCTAGTAATTTAGCTTGTTCATTATTTTGTTTATTTATTAATATAAGTAATGTTCCCAATTCTCATCTTCTTATATGGCACTACGTCACTTGTACTAAGTACGGACCATGCATCTGCAGATACACCACCAATCCACTGTAACCTTGGTCTTCCTCTTCTTCTTTTGCCAAATATTGCTTCTAAGATGATGTTTTTTGCCATCTGGTCTTCAGACATTCTTATATTGTGTCCAGCTCATTTGAGGTGACTTATTTTAATAAAGGTCACCTCATCTGCATCCCCATACAGCTGCATTAATTCAAGAATTAATCCATTGTTTCCAGACTCTTGTTTACATATATTGCATCCATGATTCTTCTCGAGATCCATCTCTTAAATCTTAGTAGGGCTTATTCTTGATTCTTGGTAGTAGTCCAGCATTTCGCAGCCTAAGTGAGTCCTGGTCTTACTAATGTTTTATACAGATGGATCTTGGTGTCTCGGGATACTTCTCGGCTCTTGAAATGTCCAACAAATTCATTATAGTATCTGTTTGCAGAGACAATCCAATGCTGAATTTCCTGTGCAATGACATTCTGAGCATTGACTTTTGATCCTAGATAAATAAATTCCTCCACTCTGCACATTTCAGGGCCAAGTTAAAAAGTAGACACACAAGACAATTTCGTTTTCTAAACCCTTTATGGGTGCAGAAACAATCTGAGGTCATACCCTGGATGCAGACCACATATTTTACCCTCATCATAGTCATCCTCATAAGGGGAATGAAATTCATTGGAATTCCCATTTTAAACAGTCTTCTGTAGAATCGTTCTCTCATTAAACTTTCATACACAGCCTAAAAATCAATGAAGAGGTAATGGGTATTTATCTTATACCCATTACATGTTTGCTTTCATTGAGAAAAATCTGGATAGCCTTTTGGACTTTATCTTCTTTCAGAGGCTCAATGTAATCCTCTGGTAATTGGATATTTCAGTCTTGCTCAACATCATTTTCTTCTAGCGAAATGTAAAAATATTCCTTCCATCTTCTCAGAACTCCTGGAATGTCTGATATTAAATTTTTGTCCAAGCCTATGCAAGCAATTGTTCAAGGATGGATAGGTTTTCATCCTTCCAGTATTTACGAACTGGTAGAATTTTCTTATTTCCTTTTGTTGTCTAAATTCTTGTGTTTTCCAGCTGTTTCTTATGCCACAATCTTTTCTTTGTTCTATGAAGGATTTTTTTCAGATTTTTTCTTAATTCTTTACTGCTCCAATGGGTTGCGGGTATATCTCTGAAGCATGAGTTGGTAAGATGCATTTATTGCAGATGTATTTATTCTCCTTTCCTCTAGTCCAAGTATTTCATTTGTTATCCCAGCCATTGTTTATTTTCATTTCATACAAGGCTGTTGTATGTCCCCCGTCAGATCAGTGTGTCGCATTTTTCACCCATCTGATTAGAAGTTGCTCTCTGATTTCAGAATCAGTTAGTTGTTGGACTGTATACTTTACTGGTGGTTTATTTTGCTGAATATGGGCAATAGAAATCCATGCTCTTATTGTTGATATCAAGAGGTGATGGTCTGAGTATATCTTAGCCTCTCTGTGAATCCTAACATTCACGAAGCTAGAAATGAATCTTATACTCGTCAGAATAAGGTTTATTTGATTGGTAGTAAAACCATCATTTGACCTCCAAGTATACATGTTTATCCTCTTATGAGGGAACAGAATGCTATCAGCCCTCTAGAGACAGCAAATTTAATCATTCTCCAACCATTGTCATTCGTCACATTGTGGATGCTATGCTTACCAATAGTTGGCTAGGATGTTGACTCTTTTCCTACTTGAGCATTAAAGCCACCTATTAAACATGATGTGAAAATTATAATTGAGGATCTGAATGCACAATGTGGTCGGGAATCAGTTTTCTGTCTCACCATTGGAAAAAACAGTATCCATGAACTCATGAATGATAATGGAGAGACTGGTAATGGAAAGACTAATTAGTTTTGTGGCAGCTAATAGATAGCAATATGTTTTGTACTAGCACTATGTTTCGTCACAAGAGAATACATTTTGGGACATGGCACTCAAATGAGCAATTCAGATTGACCATAGCCTGATAAGTAGGAGATATAGGTATCATATACGGAATGTGTGTATACACCAAGGAGCATGTAGTAGATAGCCCCCTGTATTTACTCCTTTAGTTGACATTGTGTGAGGGAATGAGAAGGAATATATAGGAATGTGAGGTTGCACTGCGAATTGTACTCAATTGTGCAGTGGACATTGAAAAGTCTCATATCGATAAACAATATAAATTAAAATATTAAAATTTTTAACGTTTTTTTCTGTAAAATATGGTTATATTTTACCATTTTTGGCGGGGGGCTTCAGCCAGAAAGCCCCCTCATTCCCCTCCGTAGATCCGCCCGTGCGGTCAGGTTACAGCAGCTGGAGAAAGACGCCAGGGAGAGGGAGAGAAGGGCACTTGAGACTGTGACTCGGAGGCGAGAGGACGCTAGGCCTGGACAGGAAGAAAGGAGGTTGTCAGAAGAGAGAGATACTACATTGAAGACTAAGAAATCAAGCCTACAGTTATAAGACTTTTATACATTCATTTATCACAGTTGTAAAGTTTATTATACAGGAGTGAAAAGCCATTTATTTATTTAGTTGTCCTATATGCCTCACAATTAAAGAATAACAAATCAGATGAGTCAATTCATTTAAAGTGTATTTACTCAGTCCCACATTTCATATATGTATTCTTATTGTTTCTTCTCACTCAATGTCACAAAGGTATTAGATTCCCGAATTCCCAACATCAGTTAAACACCCTCAAAAAGTCAATATCCAGTGCCGGGTTTTGTTTTAATAATCACGAATGTAAATAACCTAGTTCCCTGATAAAAAACGGAAGGCTATTCACCAATTCCCACCAAAAACAATTATTTACATTTAACTTTATTTGGTTATTTACAAGCAAATATTGATTCAGACCACTTTCTGCTGGTAAGTCGCATTTACGTCTGGTTATCACTGAACTACAGCAAACAAGATAAGAAAATTACTCTGTATGAAACATGTAAGTTAAAAGATCCTACTATATGGCAGTAATTCAATAATCATAGAACCATTTCCAACAATTAGCAAAAGATGGGACATGTTAAGGGAAATAATGTATGATGGTGCGAGATAGATCATTGGGCAGAAAATCTCTGACCAAAGGACACCCTGGTTTTGATTTGGATTGTAAACTGGCTACAGAGGAAAAGAACGCTGCATACCATTTGATGATCTAGAATAGGCACACCAGAGCGTCTGTGGAAGATAATAGAAACAAAATAAGGGAAGAAAAAAGAATGCATCAGGGGAAGAAAAGATCTTGGAAAAGGAAAGAGTTGGAGAAATTTGAGATGTTTCGGGTCCAAAATGAAAGTAAAAAGTTTTATCTCTGGATTACCATATTCTGCCAGTCATTCAAACCCCACACACCCTGCCTTTCTGTTAGTGTACTATCCTTCCGACCTGGAGAGCCAGTGGCTATCTGCAGTACATTAACCGGGAGATAGGGCCGCCAGCAACCTACACCATAATGTTCTCAATTACTCTTTCTTATGTATAGTTGAATTTAATTATGTGGATATTTTACAATCAGAATTTCAATAGTTTAAATTTATGGTATATTAACTTTGTTAATGTAATGATGTACTAATCAAACAAATAAAGTTAATAAAAATTAGTGTTTAATATTCTTTTTTTGTTTTAAGATTCAAGATTCTTTTCTATCTTTTTTTTTATTATTACAGATGATGTTTTTATTCCGAGAAGCAGCATATACTGCCAGAATTGCTATTCGTTATGCACTAACACTTAAGAAACTTCAATTTATGGCTAGTGCATATGCAGCTTGTATTGATGCAGATTTAATGATTGGAAAATTAGAATCGTCAAAAAAAACTGAAAAAGAAGCTCTAACTGTTTGTTTGGAAGTATATTCAGAAAAATCTAGTTGGGATTTACTGTCTTTGGGAAAAGTATATTTGGCTATTTTTAAAGGGAGGTACTAAGAAACTAATAGTTTATAGCAAAGTCATATAATTTTAATTTGAATATTTGTAAATTATTTCTGAATCAGTTTTATCATTTCTTCATAAGCCTCCATAAAAATATATCTAGCAGTATTATCATATGAATAAAGTAAATTTTCAAAATTTATTTAATTTTCATTCTGAATTCTGAAGAATAACATATTTCAGGATTTCCAGAGGAGAGATGGTTAAAGCAATTGAAATAGGCGAGGCCCTCCTTAATATAGCTGAGAGTTTTAAAGCACTAGATGTTTTGGCATATGTTTATCCTGCTATGCTGTTAATTTTGGTTAGTTGAGGGTGAACTGATAAAGTAAAATAATAGAAGTAAAAGCCACTTTTACTCAATACAATTCATTCTAAGTTAATTACCTATCAAAATGGAGCTATCAATTTTTTTCTATATTAATTATTATTCAGTATGATTTTCGTTTCTGAATTTTTTATTGTTCAAGTGGCATTACCTCTAATGTCAAGGCCTTCATATTTTTCCATAGAGCACTCTATTCCCTCGCTCTTATCCCTTCTACCAAGTTATTTTTTTACAGATGTGGTTAAATTAATGCTGGAGGGGAACAAATTCTAACGTACATAGATGAGTTTTAAAAACTCGACAATCCAATTTTTTAATACACCTTTGTATTAGGAAAATCTTACTTTAACGTTCTCTAATTTGTAAATTTTATCTTTTATATTTGTTACTAATTTTTTGATATTTTAAAACAAATTGATTATCATAATTATCTTAAATAAAACTTTTCTTATTTTTTTTAGGGAAATCTTCATAAGTTAGAAAAAGTTAAGGAACTTCTTCTAAAATTAAAAGTGACCATAGGTGATGTGCAGTCTGAAAATGATTTGAGAGAGCACCTTCATATAAGAATGAATATGTACTTACTTGTTGAAGTTGGGTACTGTATGATACCACCAAATCTGTTAATAAATCAAATAAAAAAATCTATTAATCCAAACTTGATTCCTGTTGACAGAATCATATGCCGTAGAGTTGCTATTTACATGTGTGTATGGTATCTTAGAAGGTAATGGATAATTAGTACTTCAGTTTTATAATAGTATTTTGAAGTAGTGTAATTCATTTTAATGACTTATAAATCATTTAATTATACATACCTCCACTCTAGAAATCAACTAGACTAGTCTAGGGATTATAGGAAAGAATGCTAGTAACAACATAGATAGATATATATATACACATATTTACTGTTTCTTATATATATACAAATTGTATTTTAACTATTTTTGTATTTGTTCATATTTTATTTCAGTCATTATAATGCCAATGAATGAAAGAAATTTTTTATTTTAACCCTTTAAAACTCAGAGCCTTGAGTATTCAAGGCTCTGAGTAAAAATTTTTTGAGCATGTTTAGTGGTGCTTTCACATGAGTGGGACCACTAGTGCGGTCGCCCTTGGTGCAAAAGCCAAGGGAATGCCACAAATTAGGGATAAAATATAGAGAATACATCTTTTTACATGCCAAAATTCTTGAAAATAGTGCTATTTCTATCCAAACTCCAGTTTGTTTCTTACTTTTTCATGTACTTACTCTTTGTTTGATCTTTATAATTGCCAAGTTGTCAACTAAAAATTATTATTTCTAACATACATTTGCTGTTAGAACAATTTCAATGGAGGTTCAAACTTAATAGGTTATTGGTAGAAGTGCAAAGGTATATTTATTTAGGAATAATAAGTAGAACTGACATATATAGTGGCATAATAATGCAACCGATGTAACATATTGGGAACAGAGCTTGTGTACTTATTAATTTCTAGGAAACGTTGTTATGAGCTGTTTGGTAGACTTAGGAAATAGTTTGAAAAATTTTGCTAGGTAAAATAGTACAGATAGGAAGTAAGGATAAAAGTAGGTTATTTTTTTTGGAGAGAGGAGGGGCACATAGGAAAAGTCCTTACATTTAGGCATGCTCACTCCCTTATATCATTCTACTGGCTGATTTGGAAGAGTTTTAAGGAGTCGGTAAAACCCAAGCTACAGCTTTCAGGGCTGTGGTTGATCATCACATAGCTGATGTAGGCTGTGGTGTAGTAACGACTTGAGTTGAGATGAGTCCTGCTTTATGTAGGGGCTGTTAAAAAGCTACTTAGAATGTATATCTATGTCTTATTTCTAACTACAGACATTTTTTATATTTATGAGAATCCCAACATAACAAAACAAGGATGTGATACCTAAAAAGTAAAATAATAGCTTTTAATTTGAAATTTAAATATTTTATTTTTATGTTAATTTTAAATATTCTGTAATATTAATTTATGTATAAGCATAATGATTGTTAAAGGAAGGAGATGGTCCGGGGTGGCAGTCATAAATAGGCTAAATAGTGGCAAAACTATTTTATTAATAGCCAAAGTTGCGACCCAACTTTGCAGGTCTTCAGGGCTAGAACGGACAAGATACAATAAGATAGAGAATTGTGGAAGTTACATAATATTTAGACAAAAAATTATAAACAATTTGAATAAGCTTATTAAAATTATGAACAGTAAGTACATTAACATATAAACAGAGTAAGCTAAGTAACAAGATCCTAAACTGAAGTAAATAGACGGTAACAATTGTTGTAGTGTAATATATAATATATGCAAATGTGAATATACTTCTACAGATCTACAGGAGAGATTGAAAGAAAAGGAAAAAGGATATAATATGAAATAATAGACATATAGGAATGTGAGGAAAGAAAAGAAAAAAGAAAACCAAACGTTGGCTTATAATAAAATAGTTTTGCAACTATTTAGCCTATTTATGACCGCCACCCCCAACCATCTCCTTCCTTTGTAATGTAACGGTCAACTATTAAATATTCAATATCATCATAATGATTGTTATTTAAGGTATTCCATAAAAAATAACCCAATCTACTTTTTTTTTCTTATTATATTTAAAATTTAAGTATCCTTCCTGAAAAGTGATTTGATTTTTTCATTGTGATTTCTTGTTGAAATGAAGCTTCTATAGGAGTGCTAGGGTAGCTGTGTGCCTTGGAGGCGTCACTTAATGTGGACATAACATAGCTGGTACAATGTAGGAAATTATAACTTAAATAGTGTTAAATTATTTACAATATAATTTCTTATAATATAAATATTTGAATATAATGGTGAGCCCAGGATATTTTATGGCTTGGGGCAGGTGGACATGTTTTGATCCAGTATTTTAACCTTCATCATTTTTCAACTGTATTCAGGTGCTTGTTTATAAACTGCCATTAAATTGAAATATTAAAAATGCTGAATCAAATTGAAATGACCAAATTTAATGATATTCCATATTTAATTAAAAACAAGTGAATACAGCCTTTAAGTGCGGTTGTAGCAAATATGGCAGAATAAATATATTAGGGTAGATTTTACGAGTTGTCAATAAATAAGTTGGTCACGCTGGCATTAAATAATATTTATTGATAATATAATTTACAGTGAGAAACAAAAAGTAATACATTTATGTCTGTGATTAAACCACTCTTTTATGCTATTATTTAGTCGATCTTTATTGCTTTAACTTTTCATGAAGACATTGAAGCAGGCCCAGATCACTTAGGTATGTCTGACAGATTAGGTTAGATTTCCACCAACCAAAGCAACTTGACAAACCAGACTGAAAAACTTTACCAGCAGGTATAGATGCAATTTAATGAAATTTAACATGATTAGGATTCTGTTACCAGACATATTACCTAATAAAATTTAAAAATTGAAATATCCAAATATAAAAAATATAGGTATATACATAAAGACAGATATATATAGCATCTATTTTAATTTTTTTAGAAGTGAGATCAAGATCATACCAATCGTGTTCCACATGGATTTCTGAAACTCACTGAGTGTTCCCAAAGGTAAATGAAGGCAGCCTATCTCTAAACTTTATATTAAGAAAATATTTTTAAATAAAAACAAGAATCAAGTTATCCATAATATTTACATTATATTCCTTCTGGAATATTGAAATTGACACATCTTTGAATTAAACTAAAATGACAGTGACTAAATTTAGGAAACAAATATAAAGTTAAAATTGTAAAGATCAACTTAACAATGTTACAACTGTGATGGATGTTGGATGTACATTTGTAAATACATGAGTGGTAAATGACTTTGTTTTGCTCACTATGAATCGTATTATCAATTAATACGATTAAATTCTAACATGACCAACTTATTTCTAATTTATTCATAAAACCTGCAATAATGTCAAAAAAAGTATCACTTCAACCAAACATAAAGGTTATACATACTACTTTTTTTTTTCATTTAATTTCATAACCAAAATTAAATCTTTAAAAAATATATAAAAGTTAAAGTATGTATACATTTATATTTAATTACTCTTTAAGGCTAACAGGTGCAATGCAATAAACACAGAGATTTGTCCAATGATAATCTAAACTATGCATTGAATCCATCCTCCTTTAGTAATAGAAATATCTTTCTTTTGGATTGGTGAGGAATGTTAATGGAATAATCAATGTTTTTCTCATTTAATTGGTGTCACTGATCTAAATAGCACAAAAATGAGCAAATATCATGATATAAAAACATTATTGAATAATAAACATCATGATTCATTATTATAATGAATTAAGTTAGTATTGATAGGAACGGATAAAAAAAAAAGTTATATTGAGCTAGAATAAAAGAAGTAATTAGATGTAAAGTTGAAATTGAATAAAATTTTTGAAATATCTTGTAGATACCAAATAAGTTGTATGTAGTTCTAATAATTATAGATTATTAAAAATGAAATTCTGAAGGAAATAAAAGTAAAAGGAGGTTAATAGTTATTACTTCTTCATTGTAAAATTATTCAGTTTGTGTCCAATTTCCAAAACATTTTATTGTTTTTTTTTAATGGTAATATTTCTTTTTAGGAAAGATATTGTTAATGCAAAAATGTGGCAGGTTGGCCCATATGATAATGTTGATCTTTGTCATGAAAATATTCCAAGTACACTTATGATGTTGCAAGGAAAATTAATGTATATGTCATATATCATCCAAGCTGGAGTAACAGTCAGTCCATCGTTACTTGATGAAGTGAGAAAGAGAATTAAAAAATTGGAACGGATTTGCAAGGAACGAATACCAATTTTCTTGGCTAGGTAGTAGTAATCCTTTTAGTAATATAAATTGGCTTTATATACTTTTATTACAGTCTTATATTATTCATTTACAGTTATATTGTATTAATTATGAATAGATTTGACTCATTTAGTATTCTATTTCCAATGCTTAACAATTTTATAGCTTCTTATCATATTATTGTTTTCCAGACATGGATTTAATCCAGTCAAATTTTCTAAATTATCGTAACAGGTCTACACGGCATTCATAATGTCGCAAATGAAAATGGTCATAGAACCATAAACTTTGCAGTCTCAAAAGATTTGGTGGTGGGAAGCACGAGGTTTCTCCATAAAAGGATTCATCTGGCAACTTGGCGGTTTAACGACGGTGTCACTTGCAACCAGATAGACCATTTTTTGATGTCCTCTAGACACATTTCAAGTCTACAGGATATCAGAGGGGCAAACATCGACTGTGACCACTACCTCACAATCGCCCGGATCAGAGCGCCAATTTCAATGGTGTGGGTCCAGCGAAGAATGCAATAAGCCACATTTAATGTGGAGGTGTTCAAAGATTATGAGAAGAAAGAAAGCTTCTCTAGGCATATGAATCATACGATAAGAAATCTCGGTGAATCCGGAGAATTAAACCAACAATGGAGTAGTTGCAAGGAGGCAATAGTGGAAGTCACAAATGAAACAATCGGATATCAAGAAGTTACATGGAAAGCAGGATGGTACGATGAGGAGTGTCAGAGGATCACTATTATTTAGAATAAAGCTTATCGGCGGATGGTCCAGCGAATACAAACAAGAACTTCTGTAGAAGAATACCGAACCTCAAGAAAGGAAGAGAAAAGACTCTTTCAGAGGAAGAAAAGGATCTGGGAAAGGAAACAACTGGAAGAGATAGAGAATATAAGTGGCCAAAATAAAATCAGGAAATTCTACAACCTTATCAACCAGAGTCGAAGAACTTTCAAACCTCAGACCAGTGCTTGCAAGGACACAGCGGGCAACTTAGTCACTGATAAGAACAAAATAATGGAGCAATGGAAATGCTATTTTCAAAGGCTCTTAAATGACAATATCCCTGCTGTAGAGTGGAGAGGCAGGAACTGCCGGTTGGCAATCTGGAGCCTCCCGGCATGGAAGATGTGGAAGACGCCATAGGATTCCTGAAAAACGATAAAGCCCCTGGGGTGGATGGGATACCTTCGAAACTGTTCAAGTATGGAGGGGAAGCACTCACAAGATTTATACATAATACTATCATGAAAATATGGGCGGAAGAAGTATTATCAGATGATTGGTATTTTATGGACTGGCAAATGTTTCTTTTTTTTTTATTTATTTATTTATTTTTTTGTTATAAGCCTGTACTTTTATTAAGGTTCATATTATTATAAATATATTCTAGGTAAACTTATGATAAAAAATGTTCACGATCGCAATACTTTCCTTTACTATATATTTCATATATAGGCAAATGAAAGCAAAAAAATGATTTTTTAAATTAAATTTTATTTCATTAGAAATAATCTATTTTCAACTTATAATCTAATTTATACATTGAAGAGTTTTGAACTAAATTTAAAATTATTTTTTCCAGGATTTACCATCTAAAGGCATATAAGCAAATTCTGTTTGCTACAGTCTTTAACAAATTTACTATAGGAATTATACCTGGTTTAAGCGAAATAAATTTGGCTTTGAAATATGCCAAACGATGTGGAGACAGCCATCAAATCACTTGGATTGGTCATTCATTGAATGTGGGTTTGTTTTTCAATTATTAAATCTCCTAAAATTTAAATGTCCTATATTGGATTTATGCAAGATATTAGAAGTTCTTAATTCTAAAAATTCAATCACTTTTATTATTGTTATTGTTGTTTTTTCAATTCCAATTTATTTTATGCCTGTAAAGGTATAGTCACACTCACTGCTAATATTGGCCTATGTATTCCATAATCTCTAATATTAGAGATTCCATACCAATCTGTTTCCATACCAAAAGCTACCAGCAAAGGGAACATAGAGGTACAGCAGTGTCAAGATAAAGGATAGCTTGAGTGGGGTGTTTACAAATTTACTCTACCCAATTTCATGCCCATGTCCATGGAAATGGGCTGAATGTAAACATAAGTATATCTGTTGTGGAGTCAACTTGCTCAGTGTCACCCTATACTCCATACCCCAAGAATTTTTTGTTGACTCTTCCTCAATTAAATTCTCTCAAGATCTCTGCTTCTATGAGTGCACCTCAGTTTGATATACCCTCGCCGTAAGACCATATACCAAATATAACCTGCACCCTAAGGATATACTCTGGGTACAGGTTTAAAGCTATATTTTTCTGAAAGAATAATGCACTTTTCATGCCCTTTTGTGCTGCAGAGATATATTTATAATGGAATTTTTGAGAGGTATCACATTTCATTTCATTTTATCATGAATGGTTGAAGGTTTTTGAATTTATTTTCACACCAGCTTGTCTCACTAGTGATGAATTAATTCTTATTACATTATGAGCATGGAATAGGATCCTAAGGATGATTTTATCACTTTGTTTCTATAACAATCAAAGGAAATAGATTGCAGCAAACAATATCCGCACTAACATACTTAAAATTAATCACAATACAGAAAGTATGAATCTGTATTATTTCAGTAATTGACCTTCTAAAATAAAAAATATTTTTAAAACAGTAATCTATAAAATGTTGCTCTGTATCATTTCTCACAGAATGTTTCTAGGAACAATATGAAAATGACAATTAAGTTTCACCATTTTTTTCTCTTAACATGCCTTATTTAGAAAATTACAAATAAACTTTTTTACATTATTATTTTACAATTATTAAAATGTTTGTGTAGTGGTCTTGCCTCCACATTTATAAGGTGCCATAAGAACGATTACAGATTTGTCTGTAATGTGCGACAAAACATCAGGCTTTTACTTCTAAACCATTCATAGAAATTAATTCTCCATAAAAAATACAAAATGTCTTATGATACTAAAAATAATAATAATAATAACACTAAATTTTCATTTCAATTGGTTCTTAAATAATTTTTTTTATACAGCAAAACCTATAAAAAACAAAAAAAACATGGTTTTTAATCCTCAAATATTTTAAAGATTTTTAATGCATACAAATTCAATAGTACAAAACAAATATTTATACAAAATTTCAAGTCATTTGGTTCAGCAGCCATTTAGCATGAACACACTTTCTCTTTTCATATAAATATATTTCTGTAGATACAGATACTCAAATACTCCTACTTATTACATTAATAAAATATAGTGACACGACTTTTGTTTTATTTCTGTCATTTTTTCTGCAGAAATTGGTATCTGAGCTCATGATCACATTTCTCGTGTTTTCAGTTACATAACAGATATACCGTCTTCAATACTGCTCCAGTCAGGTTCACCAAGATAAAGGTAAAGACAATTTAGCTTCATCTTAATTAAGCTGTGGAATGATGGTGATATTACTCATAAAAGGTCTTTCTTGCCTTTATTTTGGTCCACATTAAATGCTAAGAGCACTCCTGGCCCTCCGATTATGATTCTTTGACTGGCTGATGCATTTACTCTTTCAGAGTTGATGCAGATATAACACAGATAATTATGATATGTGTCGATCTGTATTCTGTGGTATCACAGTTGGTTTTTTTGGTAGATTCTTGTCAAAATCGACTGACCAGAAGTGGCACTTTATATCATGGGCTAAACACATTTTTACAATTTTCTCGGCAACGGCTTTAACGATTTTGATTAAATTCATTATATCAGTGTAAAATTGGGCAGTTTTAAATAAAATGTAGTTTTTATTTTGATTGATGTTCTCTAACAGGGCTTACATGGCTAATTTTCAATATTAGCTTCCTCTAAAATACCTTTAATTTTTTTTATTTGAAACAATAGACTATTTCACATTAATTTCTAATATAAAAGATAGTTAAATATAAAATATGAAAGAATTTGATAATTAACTAAAGGAGAAATAAAAAATCCTAACGGAAATAGTTGTAATTGACCGCATCTGAGCTCGCCCGAAAGATTATGACAGCCTTCCATAGGTAACATGAGCTTAATATAATACAAATTCCAACTATATTATATAAATATAAATATGCGGTTTTCATAAATGCAATTTTTGGTATTAAATAATATTTGATTGTATAGATTACACCGATATAAATATTAAAATTTTTATATATAAGGGTACTTATACAAATAAAAATACTCACAATGAAATATAAATAATTATAGCATCTATAATTTTTACTTTGACATCTCCTTTGTCTGAAAATACTTATTTCTGCTAAGAGGGTGGTAAGTGAAAGTTGTGTGATCCGCGCACCGCACCAGATTTTTTTTACAGAAGAGCATAAAAACTGATTATTTCTTTATGATTTATTAGTATAATTTAATATTTTATTTTTCTCTGCTATTTTCCATAGTAGCAGACTACTTATTGCAGTTGCAGACTACAGAAGAAATGTTGAAAGTTGTTACATATGACCTGTTACATTAACAGTAGTGATATGTTTTTATTCAAGACCATTAAATAATATATAAAATAAATAATTCCTGAATCACCTCTGGAATGCTTACTTACACTGTTACCTACAGTTTTCAAAGTGATCCTCTCATGCTTTGAATAAAATGTTTTTATATAAACATAGTATAAACTATTGTAAATGTTATTGAAAAATTTTTAAAATATCAGTTACTGAGGTTGTTTTTACATCTTAACTTATGCTTAAAAAATATTAAAAATTATCCTATTTTTTTTTTTATTTTAGAACTGGTATTCTCTTCGATTTATTAAATTAGCAGGTGAAGTTTATCGTAAAAATCACTACAACTATCAAGTAGTTGAAAGGGATAGTATAGTTAAATATGAACATGATGATATATTATATGACCTGCCTTTGCCACGCAAAACAAAACGAAGACTTAGGAATATAATATTATTGACAGACTACAATTATGGATCTTTGTATCGTCGGATATGGAGAATAATATGTGACATTTTTCACAGGAATCAAACTCGTCCTACTATTGGGGAACAAATTTAAGTGTGTTCTCCTATATCATCTGAAATAAATATCCAAATAAATTTTATTTATTATTGTAATTTCTTATCTAAATTAGACCTTCCAAATTATATTAATTAATCCTGGAACAGATCCAGAAGGTCCCTCAGTATGGAAGCAGCAGTACAAAAAGTTGGCAGATCAGTATTAAACTAAAACTTTTGACAGTTTCAAATTATCAAATCTTACGAGAAATATGTTCCGCAGTACTCTCTCATAGTGTCTCTTTCAGAGCCTGATTCTCAACCTCACTATATTTTGGAGATCCAATATTTTGGGGCTTGCTTGTGCTCCAACTATTTATATATTCTTTGAATAAATAATCATTTTGTGATATTGAGTGAATCATGAACTTTTATGACCTAAATTTTTCTTTAGCTATTTTTAGTACATCTAGTTAATCTTCCAGCAAGTGCACTCCCAAATCCATGACACCAGTAGACATATTCACAGACTAGATGCATCACTTTTATTTTTTTCTCATTCCTTTTACTTAAAAGAAATTCATCTAGTAAGATGTAGGAAAAAGGAAATTGAAAAAAATATGTATTTATGCTATTTAGCTGAATTGAAAAAAATTATAATTAATGAATTTACTTGTTTTTACTATTTTAAAAATTATATGTAAATGATATTTAGAAAACTACTCAGGTTCTTTTCTACTGCTATATTGACTAGAGTAAGTGGGCATTAGATTTTACAGTTTTTCTTAAAATGAATGTAATATCTTTATTTTCAAAGTTAGATTTTTTCCTATTATACATATTCCATATGTTATTTAAGGAATTATAAAAACTAGGGCAGGTGGTAAAGTATATATGTGTGTAGCTTGTCAGAAAGTTTGAGAAAATCATTACATGTTTGCCCACCTTAACGAGAATATGTTATGACTGAATATTTTGGGGTGAGAGTCCAGTTCAGATTGTATGGAGTTGATTCCCACCTCAGACTATTAATATTTATTTCTGGGAAGCCGTGGGAAATAAATTAAGACCCTCTATACTGGTTAATACTTACATGATGGCAACTTCGCGGTAACCATCATGGGTTGGCAAAAAGGATGATCCCCTCACTGGTACCTCCTTAAGGAGCACAACTCCTCTTGTCTAGTCTCAGACATGATAAAAATGAAGGTGGCTTACATGTCCAAAATCAATAGAAAAATGATATCTTAATTATCGTACAACCTTGAATCAATGCTGTTTTAAAAATTGTTCAATTATTGTATGCTCAAATCATTATTATGTTGATTTTTTTTTTAGTAAAATTAGATCTGAGCTAAAGATTAATATTAATGTTCTTTTGCATAGTGATGCCAAAGTTTTGTAAAAGATATGCTTGATTCAAAAATATAACTCTTATAAAATTTTAAAATATGCTATTCTTATAGGAATGGCAGGCAATTACTAACAAAGCCCAGGATGTGATTATAGGATACATAAACACAGAACAGGTTTGATATATATATATATATATATATATATATATATATATATATATATATAGATAGATAGATAGATAGATAGAAAAAAAACTTTATTCTGGGACTAAGTCCCTTCAGAATAACAATAATGTACAAAATAATAGAATATTACTGGCCTGAACGTTGAAACAATAAATAAAATTGATAAAATAAAATAAAAAGTAAAGAAAATCTTAGGTGCACAAGCTATATACAAACAGATAAAACTATGCACAGAGCATTTAAAATTATGAACAAAACAATTAAAACTATGAACGAATCACTTGAACTATGAACAAAATTATATTTAAGGGTTGAACAACATAAACATACACTTTGAGAAATGAAGAACGAAAAAGAGATACAATGAGTTCATTTCATAAAAAAAAAAAAAAAACTTTACTTGAATATATATATAAAAATAAACAGTTACTTATAATTGAATAAAAAAAAATATATATAAAAAAAAATGTATGTATTGAAATTCCTACGTCGATAGTAGGAAATGCATGTACTATCTATTACCAAGTGTTATGATTATATGATTGCTACTCAATACATATATAATATCAATAGTTAGCTGGTATCAGACTGTTTTTGGAACAGGAATTGGAATAGGAGGTTTTTGAATGTATACAGGGAAGGGGCATGTCGAATTTTGATCGGGAGGGAATTCCAAAAGTTGACAGAGCGGGCTATAAAGGAATTTTGGAATGAGGCAGATCTATGAGAAGGGATGTATAGGTCAGAGGGTCGGGATCTTGTAGTGAGAGAATGGATTGAGGACTTAAATTGGAGAAGGTTGTAGGCATAAGAAGGACGATGATCGGTAATGATTTGATAAAGGAAAGTGCCAAGGAAATATTGTCTTCTTAAGGAGGGGAAGAGCCACCCTAACTCAGTGTAGTGGTGGGAGACACGGGAGCGTCTCGGGGTTCCAATTACAAATCTTACGAAGCAATTCATAAGTCTTTTGAGTCTATCACGCAGTTCCACCGAGAGGCCATCGTACACCACACAGCTGTAGTCAAAGTGGGGAAAGATGAGAGAGGAAACTATGAGTCTACGGGTATTTTGGGGTAGAAGATGGCGGAAGTGATGGAATAGTTTGAGGGTAGAAATTGCACGGCGGGATATATGAGAGATATGGTGATTCCAGGAAAGGGTTTGATCTATGAGAAAGCCTAAATTTTTAACAAAGGGATAGAAGGTGATGGGGTGGTTGTTTAGATAGAGTGAGGGAAAGTTGGTGTGGGATCTAAGAAGGGGCTTGGAACCAATGAGAATGGCCTGAGTTTTGGCAGCATTTAGCCTTAATCCATTTAAGTTGGCCCAGGCACTAATTCGATCTAAATCTTCTTGAATTTTGGCAAATGCCACCAATAACTCAGCGGGAGAAAAGGATAAATAGATTTGAGAATCGTCGGCATAAAGGTGGTGGGAACAATGGATAATTGAATCATTTAGGTCATTAATATAAGAATTGAAAAGAAGAGGAGACATGCTTGAACCCTGTGCAACTCCTGAGGATAAAGGAAGGTAGGCAGATAGAGGTTGATTAGGTATGGAAACTGCTTGGGTTCGTTGTGAGAGGAAAGACTGGAACCAAGAGATGGAACTATTGGAGAAGGATAATGATTTTAGTTTGTTGAAAAGGATGGAATGGATAATGGAATCGAAAGCTTTGGAGAAATCAAGCAGTATAAGTATGGTTAGTTTTTTGTCATCTATTGCAGTCTGGATATCACTAGTAATTTTAATCAGAGCAGATTGTGTAGAGTAGCCAGGACGGAAGCCAGATTGGAGAGGATCGAGTTGGTTGGATTGTTCAAGGTAGTTGGAAACTTGGGATTGTACTAACTTTTCTAGGGGTTTAGAAAGATTGGAAAGGATTGATATTGGGCGGAAATCTTCGGGAGAGGATGGATTAGGCTTTTTGTTTAAAGGAAGGACAATGGCTTTTTTCCAAGAGGTCGGGAATATTGAATTCTGCAGGGAGAAATTGTAGATGAAAAGGAGTGCTGGGAGGATTTCAGGGAGACATAATTTTATTAGTTTGATAGGAATGCCATCTGGGCCTACGGAATTGGAACGGGATTTCATTATAACGGTAATAAGGTCTGTGGGAGAAATGTCGGAAAAATAAAAATTATTGTCGTTAAAAGGTACCTCTGGAGAAAAGCCGGAAGGGGATGGTAAAGAAGAGGTGGAAACCGATATAAAGTGGGAGTTTAGGTCATCAGGTGATATTGGGAAAACTGAGGAAGGGGATCTAGAAGGTTCACAGAGGGAAAGCTTACGAAGTAGAAGCCATTTTGATTTGATATCAGGAGCTGAGGAAAGGGCTTCGTGAAAGTAGTTCGCTTTCGCTTGTCGGATCCTTGTCTGTGTCGTGTTACGAAGCACTCTGAATATTTGATAATCATCTGCAAGCCTAGTCCGTCTGAAGCGTCTGCGTGCAGCGTCGCGTCTCTTCTGCAGATCCTTAATTTCCTGACACATCCAAGGAGCCGGACGATGACGGAAAGTGGAGGTTTTCAGAAGAGCGTGGGTATTAAGTATATTGAGAAGATTGGTGGTGAGAATATCAACCATGGTGTCGACAGAGGAGCAATGATATATTTCATTCAAATCCAATGTTACTAGATCAGGTAATATTTTTTCTCGAGTAAGGGTATCCAGTTGGCGGAAAGTGATAGTTCGAGGATGGATTGGAGGAGTGCGGATATTATACGTTATTTGTATCAGATCATGAGATGAAAGAAAGGATACTGGCAATTGAGAGGCGGAGAGGAGGTTTTGTGCTGAGTCGATGATGTAGTAGTCTAGCCAAGTGTCAGATCTGGAGGTGTGGTGGGTGGAGGAAAAAGGAACGATGAATAGGTGAAGTGAGAAAAACAGATTTTCTAAATAGGATTTGTCATTGGAGTTTGAGAGGAAATTGGTATTGAGGTCACCGGAGATAATTATTCTGGGATAGAGGGGAACGAAGTTGAATAGAGTTGATTCGAAGGACGGGTCAAATGGCACGAGAGGAGGGCGATATACCACGGCGTAAAGGATAGGAGAAATATTACTGAGAATTTCTACTAAGAGGTATTCTACATGAGGATGATCGGAAGATGGGGAGCAATCGAGGATTCGGGTCTTTAGGCTATTGTGGACAAACATGGCTACTCCACCGCCAGTCCGGTTTACCCGGTCATGACGGAGCAGGATGTAATTAGGCAAGGAGACTGAAGATGATGGAATATAAGGTTTGAGCCAGGTTTCGGATATTGCTATGATATGATAAAAGTTTTGGGTAAAGTATTGCAGGAATTCGTCATAATGGGCAGAAAGTGATTGAGAGTTAACTTGACATGTGATTAGGGAACTAGACATACAGTGGATTTGGAGAGAAACAGTCAGTGTTTGGTAGCGAGAAGACAAAACGAGTAGAAAGTACAGAAAAGCGATTATCGTACATGAAACTAAGTGAAGAAAAAGTAATATTAACATTAAAAATAAATAAAGAGAA